GAGCCGTAGTCCGGCCGGCCCCCTCCCGCCCCAGGGCCTCTCCCCGGCTTCTAGGGCCTCTCCCCGGCTTCTAGGGCCTCTCCCCGGCTCCCAGGGGAGGCCGGCGCGTCCCACCGTGCCCAGGAAGCTCGGGAGCGGGATGGAGAGGCCCCCGTGCCCGGGAGCCAGTAGAACCACCTGAAAGGAGCCCGCCCTGTGTGCTCCCGGGATGCTGTGCTGGTCCCAGAAAAGCCTGGGTCCCGTTACCCGGTAATAATCCAGTCCGCACACGGAGCCGAGGTGTTTTCTCTAGTTCTGTGCAGAAAAAGGCCCTTCCCCGTAACAGAGGGCTTCTTTTATACACACACACAAAAAGGCAAACCAGGCATATTCCTAAGGATACTGCTATCATTAGTCTTCGTGATTGGTTAACTAGTTCCACTTGAAGTGCCAGTGCTTCTCATTTTCCCTATGCATGTTCAGAGGGCAGGGGGTTTTGGTGAAGGGGGTCTTCCCAGCCTAAGGGAGGGTATTAAATGTGTTAATGAGGTAAGTTCACAGAACGTTTAATTAGCTATTGTTTTTATTGTCGGCTTTACATAGTGCTTAAAAGGTTAGTGGTTAGCATCTTCCCTTCAGCTGTACTTCCCCCCAGGATAAGCTCAGGAAAACCCCCCTTCCATCAGTCACATCCTTGCAGGGCAAGTTCCCCAGAGGCCGAGGCCTGCCTACCCACTCTTGGTTGTGTCCTTAACCAGCGCTGCTGCTTTTCTACCTTGACCTAAGGTGTTGGAAAATCTATTCAGGATGGGCAGTGCCTTCGTGGTTGCTCAGGCTGCGATTCCAGGGTTGCGGCTGCTGGCTTTGTGGTGTGCAGTTGTTCAGCCAGCACCCTGCCTGGGCAGGGTTGCACAGCCCAGCCTGGGGAAGGGGTGGGGGAAGAGCAGGACCACACCATCCTTGTTCAAATGGTCTGAAGCTCCGTGGAGCTACTTCGGGGTCATGCTGATCAGTATTGTTAAGGTCTGTGTATTTGGGAATCCAGCTGGTCATTCATTGAAATATGTTAAAGCTTAATTCTCAGTTGGAGAGCTACCAATAATTTTTATTTATTTATTATTTCTTTCTAAAGAAAATAAATCTCTTGGATTGCACAAAATGCAGGGCAGGTTATATTTGAAGGAAAAGCATAGTAAGCAGTGCCATTTGCATCCTAATTTACCATCTGAACTTGACCCACTAGTAATTCTTTCCACATTACATCTTGTTTTCTTTCTTGAATTATATATTTAGGTTTAATTATATACTGTTACCTAATCGTTCCCAGCTTGTAAAATTCAGGTCAGTTGAATGTCAAGATGTGTCAGGAGGTAAACAAGCCTGGCTACTGGCTAACGGTACCTGTGCCCAGGCTTAAATTTTGAAAATGTCTGGTTTGAAAAAGACCAAGATGCTAGAAACAAAGTTTTTATTTAAACTGAATATGGAGGCTGAAGGACTGAGTTTCTAGCAAAATACTTCAGGCCCTATCATGTAATCCTATTTCTGGCTGAAGTGGTTATGATTGAAAAGCAGATGATGAAAAGGGGCTGATTTTGGTTTCTTCTTGGTTGGTACCTGTTTACCTGCCCATTCAATTTCTAACTGTTTCTAAAAACATTGACTTTGTTGTTTATATTTTTATTGTTTACATGCTGTTATTGTACAGAAAAAGCAGTAGGTCTATTATCCCCTGTGCATACAGCTGGGCAAGTGTCTGTGTTTCTATGATGTCTGTATGATTTCTCAGTGTGCAAGTTAAGGTGTGGTTCATGAAGCCAGCTATTTTGCTTGAAGTGACAGACTGGCTTGCTGAGGAAGACCCAGAAGAAAGCATCTCCCAGGCCAAAGGTAGGGGATGTAAATGATGAGGGGAAGGTTTTCACCCTCCTTTGGGGGAAATGGAGCTCAACACCCAATGGAACATTTTTTACCTCTCTTCTGTTTAATATGCTGGAGTGCCATAGCCTCCCATTGCCCACTAGCACATGACCAGGATGGGGCTGCTTCTCTGGGTCTTTAGAGGAGGCACTTGCAAACAAATTTCACTGTGTGGACCTCAGAAACATTCTGTTGTGTAACTTACTGTTTATGGCATATAAGGTAATAATGGGGGAGAGGGCAGTCACATTGGACTCAATCCAAGTCTCTGCTTGGTAACAGAGCCCAGTGATACTTTTGGGCTTGCCATCCTGTTAATATTTTCCTAGATAACTCACCCATCAGTCAGCTTGAAGGAACAACATGTCCTTTCAATAGGACCTGTCATTCTCATTTGATGGATGTCTGCGTTTGGTTATCATAACCTAGAGGATGATGTGTTCTTTGAAGAGATATGGGGAGCCTGAATCAACTTTCCCTGGTTACAGTTATGTCAGGCCAGAAGTTGTCTTCAGAGCCAGGTCACTCTAGAACTCTCTATGGGATTTGTGCAGCTTGACACCCGCAGAAGGGAATCTGGAAAGGCCACCTGTTTTTTTCTGACAACTTTGAAGTATGTTGCATCATAACTTAGTGTGGAGTAGATCAAGGGAACTGCAGAATAATGGCTCAAAGGTTAGACTGAGCTCTTATGTCACCTGTAACTGTCAGTGTTTAGGAAAGCACAGAAACCCTGCTCATGAGAAACTGAGGAAGAAAATCTCTTAAAGGGTCCTTCCTCCTGAAGGGGATGGAAGGAGACGTCAAAGCCATGGAAGCTGGTGGTGGAGGCTGGAAGCAGCAGATCTGGCATTTTTACATCCTGGGTGCACCACTTGTTCAGATGACTAATATCTCACAGTCCCATGCTGGTGTCCCTGCATCTTGCATATTAGCAGCCTGCTCTAATCTCTCTGGAAGGCTGAGTTGCAAGCTGGAAGCTTGCACTGTCCTTTGCTGTCTGTCGTCTATAAAAATTGTCCCTAGCAATCCACCTCCTGTTCACATGAGATCACATGTGTTATCTTTTACCTCTGGGAAGAGTTTGGAGATCTAGCTATAGGTAGTACAGTTAGCTGATGTAGGTACACTTCTAATCTGTGGCACGTGCACAGATGTGGGGTCAAAGCACAGGAACATATTCTGCTGAAAGGCGTTCAGGTAAAAATAACTAATTTAATTTGGTCTCTGATTTTATACTAAAAGCTGTTTCTTCTGTGCTGCTGCTGACTGTAAGGTCGTATATACATTCTTAATTATGCCATTTCGTTATTATGGTATTTGTGCAAGTTAAAATGAAAACCATGAGCTGTAACGAGACTAACCAGTTTCAGCTTTCTAGAGCTAGAGCATTAGTGTAGTTCTTTTGTATCTGGGTTTCCAGTAGAGTGAATTAAGGGTTGCAATAACAGCAATTAAAACATTTCTGTCCTGGATTTTTTGGGTCTACAGTGAACTGCTAAGTGAAATTTTAGAGTAGTTTATCTTGTTCTTTTAAAATCAGTTATGCAAAAGGATGTATTTTCCAACTGTGACCAATTTATTGCTTGGGGCGGGCACCACACAACACAACCCACCACCTTGCTGTGGAATAAAAACCTTTCTCCAGAAAAGTAATGAAACTGGCAGCTTGACTTGCAGTATGTTTCCAGCCATTTTTTTTTCATCAGACAAACCTCAATGGTCCTGTATCATGTAATTACTAGGCACATAGTGAGAGCCTACAATGGTTAGGAAGTCAGCTGAGAACTGTGCTCTCCTGCAGCTTTTGAGGGTCCAAAATCACAACCATTTTGGCAATTACATATTTCTGTGGTACATTATAGTGGGAAGAGAGAGAAGGACTGTGTTCAGGCCTAAACCACATTGTTTAACATCTAAAATCTTAATGAATTTGATAACAAGGTCCTTGCATGTTGTCTTGAGCAACAGGGAACCACTAAAGTGGTTAAAAAGTGAGGAGTGACCCATAAGCAAGATAAGCAAGCAACAGCAATATGTATTGATTTGATAGAGCTAGATAGTTTCTGTCAACAAATTAAATTACATTGGTCTTGTAGTCTGCTTGATTTATCTGGCATTGAGTGTAGACGACTAGCTAGAATGGCATCTAGCAGCTAGTGCTGTTAACTTGGCATTTGTGTGTTGGTTCAGAAAGTGTAGGGAGAGTTGAAATACCAAAGAATTGCAACAATGGCAGTTTTCTAAGCTAAAATGCATGATTAACGCTAATGCCTCTTATTTGTCTTTCTTTTGTACAGCCAAGAAGGAAGAGAAATCAGAAGTTATGAGTGTTCACTGGTTTACGAATCCAAGGTGGAGAGGAAAACAGAGAGTAAATTAATGGGGCATAGTATGAAGCTACTTAGGATTAACAGACTGGAAGAGATTAATACACGATATACCAGCCAAAGACTGGAAAAAACAGCCTTTTTCCAGAGCATGGAAAAAATGGAGAGGACTAGAAGCTTTCAGGAAGAAAAATTCACTGAATCAGATCCTGGAAAAGAAGATGGAAAGGTAACTATGCCTACCTGCATAATCAAAATTGTCTTCCCAGAGTACTGACCCTTTCTTCTTTCAGCTAGTTAGAGAGTTTACTGTATATATTTTCCATTATCATATGTAAA